CTTTCTTCCCCATTCTGATTCTTGGTTTGAACTTCAGCAGGTTGTAGTCATCACGTCTAGATGCCAAAATGCTGCCATGTGATTGACTGATTAGCAATTTGCTTTACCAAGCAATTGAACAGGTGTACCTAATAAAGTGGCCAGTGAGTGTACAGTATATTCTGATTCAAATGGTGTTGAATAGTCTGATTATATAAGGTATGAAAAAATTATTTGTTGCATGTATTATCCAGAAAGCACCATTAGGAGGCGCAACAAGCACACGATGTGTTCACGATGAAGAGATAACTAGAATTCTACAGTGGTTTCTGGGCAGCATAATTATAGACACCAGCATAGGCACAATCTGTTCACTTACTCCAACTGAGTGTGTTCCAAGAATACATAGGACAGCACAGTACAAATGTACTTTAGTTCCAGTTCTGCAGCACAGCATTTCTAGTTTCTGGGTCTGGTTTGGTGGTATAGTACTTTATTATTGATATTATTTTCTCTCTTGACTGCTTAAATGAATCAGCTAATGAAACAACATAGCAAATTACACTTGTACTTTGTTTACAACAGATTTCCAAGAACATTTCTGTTGGGTTGGCATTTTTAGCCCAATGTATGCACTCTGTCATAAAGGACCTTGATTTTTTTCAAATTGATTTATACAGTGCTGACATGGTCCACTGTGCTTTAGAAAGTATGCATACAGTCTATACAGTCTACAGTCCCAACCACTCACACTCATGTTTGTGGATTGTAAAAGAAATCCAGGGCACTCAAGGGAAAAACCATGCAATTACTGGGAGAAGATACAAACTCCATGCAGACAGTGGCCCTCTGGCAGCTGGCCTCAGCACACAACCTCAACTATATCATGTTTACATAATTCATTCAAAATGTGGTCGTTCATGGGTGCATTATTTTCATTGTACAGTTTGCTGTTATATAGAATAATTAGGAAGTAGCCTATAGGGAATAATAGTCTCTATCAGAGATTAAAGGGTTTTTTTTTTTACCCATTGCTCGTAAATACATGGACACATGATTATTTACCCAGTCAAAGGCACAAAACATGGGAGCTTAGCCAAGGTGATTAAGACCTACAGTGGGGATCGAAGGTTTGGGCACCCCAGCTAAAAATTTGTATTAATGTGCATAAAGAAGCCAAGGAAAGATGGAAAAATCTCCAAAAGGCATCAAATTACAGATTAGACATTCTTATAATATGTCAACAAAAGTTAGATTTTATTTCCATCATTTACACTTTCAAAATAACAGAAAACAAAAAAATGGCGTCTGCAAAAGTTTGGGCACCCTGCAGAATTTATAGCATGCACTGCCCCCTTTGCCAAGCTGAGACCTGCCAGTGTCATGGATTGTTCTCAATCATCGTCTGGGAAGACCAGGTGATGTCAATCTCAAAGGTTTTAAATGCCCAGACTCATCTGACCTTGCCCCAACAATCAGCACCATGGGTTCTTCTAAGCAGTTGTCTAGAAAACTGAAACTGAAAATAGTTGACGCTCACAAAGCTGGAGAAGGCTATAAGAAGATAGCAAAGCGTTTTCAGATGTCAATATCCTCTGTTCGGAATGTAATTAAGAAATGCTAGTCATCAGGAACAGTGGAAGTTAAAGCAAGATCTGGAAGACCAAGAAAAATATCAGACAGAACAGCTCGCAGGATTGTGAGAAAAACAATTCAAAACCCCACGTTTGACTGCACGATCCCTCCAGAAAGATCTGGCAGACACTGGAGTTGTGGTACACTATTCCACTATAAAGAGATACTTGTACAAATATGGTCTTCATGGAAGAGTCATCAGAAGAAAACCTCTTCTACATCCTCACCACAAAAATCATCGTTTGAACTTTGCAAATGAACATATAGACAAGCCTGATGCATTTTGGAAACAAGTTCTGTGGACCAATGAGGTTAAAATTGAACTTTTTGGCCGGAATGAGCAAAGGTACCTTTGGAGAAGAAGGGGCACAGAATTTAATGAAAAGAACCTCTGTCCAACTGTTAAGCATGGGGTTGGATCAATCATGCTTTGGGGTTGTGTTGCAGCCAGTGGCACAGGGAACATCTCACGAGTAGAAGGAAAAATGGATTCAATAAAATTTCAGCAAATTTTGGATGGTAACTTGATGCCATCTGTGAAAAAGCTGAAGTTAAAGAGAGGATGGCTTCTAGAAATGGATAATGATCCTAAACACACCTCGAAATCCACGGGGGATTACATCAAGAGGTGTAAACTGAAGGTTTTGCCATGGCCTTCACAATCTCCTGACCTCAACATAATTGAAAATCTATGGATAGACCTTAAATGAGCAGTGCGTGACAGACAGCCCAGAAATCTCAAAGAACTGGAAGACTTTTGTAAGGAAGAATGGGCAAAGATACCTCAAAGAAGAATTGAAAGACTCTTGGCTGGTTACAAAAAGCGTTTACAAGCTGTGATACTTGCCAAAGGGGGCAGTACAAGATATTAACTCTGCAGGGTGCCCAAACTTTTGCAGACGCCATTTTTTTGTTTTCTGTTATTTTGAAAGTGTAAATGATGGAAATAAAATCTAACTTTTGTTGACATATTATAAGAATGTCTAATCTGTAATTTGATGCCTTTTGGAGATTTTTCCATCTTTCCTTGGCTTCTTTATGCACATTAATACAAATTTTTAACTGGGGTGCCCAAACTTTCGATCCCCACTGTAGGTTGCTTTGTTGGCAGATGCTTCAATTGCATAGTGTAGTCCAAATGTTAAAAGTTTCATAAACTCAAGTTTAACATACTTTGTGCATATTGTATACAGGGGCATATTTACCACAAGGCAACAAGCCATTTGCCTAGGGCAGCATTTGTTTCAGGGGGGCAGCGGCATTTTTCAGGGGGGCAGCACCACCCCCCAAAAGAAGAGATGGAAGAAAGGACACATGCAGCATGGGGACCAGGCGGGATCTGAGAGAGGCTGCAGGCTGCTTGATGGTGTATGCAGAGCCTGACTCTTGTGCCCGGGGATGTCCGGAGCTGTGAAGGTGAGTGTCTTCCCTCTCGCCAGGGTGGTGGGGTGGGGGGGGGGGGTTGCCAGTGTGTATGAGGCAGTGGTAGTGGAAGGTTCTCTCAGGTGGGGTGTTGTCGATCAATGTCAGGCTCTTATCGTGGGGCAGGGAAGTGTTTGTCAGTGTCAGGGTCTCTCCGTAAGGGGGGGGGAGCCAATTTTTGTGTTGCCTAGGGCAGCATGAAACCTAAATACACTACTGATTGTATATTAAGGGCTAGGTACTAACACAACATTAGTTTTGCAAATAAAAAACTAAAATAGAACGTATCTGTGGAACTTGTTTTTTTTTTTTTTGCACTGATCTGTACGTCAATCCCGTGTTCTTGTAGTGACAGGTCATGTAATATAGCTTAATAACTCTTGTAAAAGTACTGATTCTTTTGGGCCAAACATTTCCCACCTCCAGGCAAATGAAAAAAATACCAGTTGATCAATTCATTATCAGACTTTTGCAATCCTCTGTACAGCAGTAAATAAAGCTCAGACTGGGAGAGGGGCAAATCAGCTGTGCTGAAGTTCTAACAAAGAACATATTGACAGTAGAGTAAGAGAGGTGTAAGGCATGAGGATGCAGTACATTGGTGCAGCATTTACAGGGTTAAAACAGATGGTGAGAAGGTGACATATTGCCTCCTCAACGCCTGTCAAATGTCTCTTAAAACTGATCCACTGCAGATTGTATTTTAGAGGGGCTACAAAAGCTTCCGCTAATGTAAACTTAGCTTTACAGAGAAGATTTTCTAATAAATAGATTCACGCCTGATTCATCCCCTCTAGTCTCCTCTATGAAGAATGGAGACTGTTCAAAATAATTGTGACTTAGCTTCACTAGGAATTATTCTATCATTTCTAACTGGACATATGTCTCTACTTGTCTGCAGTGTTCATCTCATCAACATATTAAATACAAATTTTGCAAGTAATTTGAATATGTCTTTATGGTCACCTAGGCTTGTACTGCTGGAAAGCACCCAGATAACTCAATCCAAAGATAAATGCATTCTCACGGGGAGGGTGAACTATTCTGCAATGTTGGTCGCATTCTACACCTCCTTTAATGACTCTCTTTAAAGAAAAGTTTACATTCCTCTCTAGAAGGGCCTGTCTAGACACAACTTATCCAGAAACACACTCAAAACACTTCTTACAGTTGTGGGCTAGTTGGTTTTTTTTTTTTTTAGTTATTAAATTGATGTTACTTAGAGTAAAGTAAAATGTTAAAGAACTCTACGTAGCTCTACCCACTTAGGAGTTGCAATAGATTTGGGTTCCCCTATAGTCCTGCACAGTCGGGCAACACACATTTCCTTCACTTAGACTTGCATCAGGAGACAGTAACCATTCCTTGGGCTTTGTTTTGAACTTGGATGGGATAAGGGGTGTATGGGATGCCCAAGGGCAGGGGTCCTCAAACTTTTTAAACGGGGCCAGTTCACTGTCCCTCAGACTGTTGGAGGGCCGGACTAGTTTTTAAAAAAAAAAAAAAACTATGAACAAATGCAGACACAGTACAGGAGATGACCAGAGACTGCAAACATAGTACAGGAGATGACCAGAGACTGCGGACACAGTACAGGAGATGACCAGAGACTGCAAACATAGTACAGGAGATGACCAGAGACTGCGGACACAGTACAGGAGATGACCAGAGACTGCGGACACAGCACAGGGGATGACCATAGACTGCGGACACGGTACAGGAGATGACCAGAGACTGCGGACACAGCACAGGAGATGACCATAGACTGCGGACACAGTACAGGAGATGACCAGAGACTGCGGACACAGCACAGGAGATGACCAGAGACTGCGGACACAGTACAGGGGATGACCAGAGACTGCGGACACAGTACAGGAGATGACCAGAGACTGCGGACACAGTACAGGAGATGACCAGAGACTGCAGACACAGTACAGGGGATGACCAGACTGCAGACATAGTACAGGAGATGACCAGAGACTGCAGACACAGTACAGGAGATGACCAGAGACTGCGGACACAGTACAGGGGATGACCAGAGACTGCAGACATAGTACAGAAGATGACCAGAGACTGCGGACACAGTACAGGAGATGACCAGAGACTGCGGACACAGTACAGGAGATGACCAGAGACTGCAGACATAGTACAGAAGATGACCAGAGACTGCGGACACAGTACAGGGGATGACCAGACTGCAGACACAGTACAGGAGATGACCAGAGACTGCAGACAGTACAGGAGAAGACCAGAGACTGCAGACACAGTACAGGAGATGGCCAGAGACTACGGACATAGTACAGGAGATGACCAGAGACTGTGGACACAGTACAGGAGATGACCGGAGACTGCGGACACAGTACAGGGGATGACCAGAGACTGCAGACACAGTACAGGAGATGACCAGAGACTGCGGACATACTACAGGAGATGACCAGAGACTGCGGACACAGTACAGGAGATGACCAGAGACTGCGGACACAGTACAGGAGATGACCAGAGACTGCAGACACGGTACAGGAGATGACCAGAGACTGCGGACACGGTACAGGAGATGACCAGAGACTGCGGACACGGTACAGGAGATGACCAGAGACTGCGGACACGGTACAGGAGATGACCAGAGACTGCGGACACGGTACAGGAGATGACCAGAGACTGTGGACGCAGTACAGGAGATGACCAGAGACTGTGGACACAGTACAGAAGACCAGAGACTGCAGACACAGTACAGGGGAAGACCAGAGACTGCGGACACAGTACAGGGGATGACCAGAGACTGCGGGCATACAACGGCGGCGGGAATACTGGGCCAGGCCGCTCCATAAGACGCACAGACATTTTCCCCCAAGTGTGTCTTATGGAGCAAAATAGTGCCCCATCATTGGTGTCAGTGGGAGGAATAGTGCCCCATCATTGGTGTCAGTGGGAGGAATAGTGCCCCATCATTGGTGTCAGTGGGAGGAATAGTGCCCCATCATTAGTGTCAGTGGGGGGAGGAATAGTGCCCCATTGTTGGTGTCAGTGGGGGGAGGAATAGTGCCCCATCATTGGTGTCAGTGTGGGGGGGGGGAACAGTGCCCCGTCATTAGTGTCAGTGGGGGAAGGGGATCGTGTCCCATCATTGGTGTCAGTGGGAGGAATAGTGTCCCATCATTGGTGTCAGTGGGAAGAATAGTGTCCCATCTTTGGTGTCAGTGGGAGGCATAGTAGGTCATTGGTGTCAGTGGGGGGGAATAGTGCCCCGTCATTGGTGTCAGTGGGGGGGGGGGGATAGTGTCCCAACATTGGTGTCAGTGGGAGGAATAGTACCCCATCATTGGTGTCAGTGGGGGAAGGAATAGTGTTCCATCCTTGGTGTCAGTGGGGGGGGTGGAATAGTGCCCCATCGTTGGTGTCAGTGGGGGGAGGAATAGTGCCCCATTGTTGGTGTCAGTGGGGGGAGGAATAGTGCCCCATCATTGGTGTCAGTGGGAGGAATAATGTCCCATTATTAGTATCAGTGACACCAATGATAGGGCACTATTCCTCCCACTGACACCAATGACACTTAACTTGCTGACCCCTGTTCCAGCATGGTGCTGCTGCAGCCAGCATACCTGGTTGCAGCAGCACCATCTGCACGGCACACTTACCTGTCAGCTGTCCTTGTTCACTCCGGCCTCTCCCTCATTCGATGTTCGCGGGGCCGCTCGGCTCCACCTCCTCGCAGGTGATTGGCCGCCTGTGTGCCTTTCCTGAGCTACAGTTCTGGCGCCCAATCACCGGTGAGGAGACGGAGCCGAGCGGCAGCGCGGACATTGAGTGAGGGAGTGGCCGGAGTGAATGAAGGAGCAGCGCTTCCTGGACTGGATTGTCGTGGGACTGGGACACGGAGCCAGGTAAGATACAGCAGCCCCCTGCTCGCCCCTGTACTTAGTGTCCCTTCCTCGTGGCAAATACGCCCCTGCTGGCGGGCCGGATGAATGTCCTCGGCGGGCTGCATGTGGCCCGCAGGCCGTAGTTTGAGGACCCCTGCCCACGGGAATGGCAAAGGAGGACAAACTCCTTAGCAACTATGTACAAGTCTTTACAGCAACAATACTCTTTTTGTTGGAGAGCTAACCAGCATCTCCTATAGCACCACCTCAGAGCCCAGATGACTCCTCTCCTCATCCAGCTGTACTGTGCAAATCCCTGGAAAGAGGATCTAGTGCCTGCCACTGCAGTGTGAAACAGTCTCGGGTAAGATAGCAAATCCAATTTTGCAGTAAAGTGTTCCTTCCCCCCTACTGGCCCAGGGGGTGCAGGTCTACTCACTTGGCCCCTCTCCTGTGCTGCTGATGAGTTGGTAGCTGCTACCAGGCCTTCTATCTGGGTTGCTCCTTCTATGCCACAAAGGTGGTCCACTCTCAGTGGGCCAGTGGAGCTCCAAATTTTCAGCCTCCCAAGGTCCTCTGCTTGTAGGTGAGCCCCTCTCCATACAGGCTCAGCTACTTTTAAAGGTTGTCCTGGCCCCTTGTCAAGCCTCCTGTTAGGGACTGGCCAGGATCCTCTAAGAGTAGAAACCAACCACTCCTCAGATCTGCCTACTGCTTCTACACCTTTGGCCAAAGTTCTAGAGCAGGGGAAATTCCAGAGGGCCTGGTCTCTCAGCCATGTCCCAATTTTGACCCCCCTGCTAGCTATTACTCCCAGGCTGCTACTCAGCTCTAGCTAACAATTAGAGTCTAAAAACTTTCTTCTGTTAATGTCTAAGATATGTGAATTATTATTATTATTATTATACAGGATTTATATAGCGCCAACAGTTTACGCAGCGCTTTACAATATAAGGGCAGACAGTACAATTACAATACAAATTAATGCTGGAGGGATCAGAGGGCCCTGTTGTTAGAGATAAGCATTGCGTTATGTAAAAAAAAAAAATATATTGAGATTGATTTACACTTTGGTATCGGCTTTTCACTTTGCAAGGGAAGTTTCCCCAGAGTTTAGTGAATTAAAATAAGGCTGTTCACTTTGCAAGGGTATTTTCATTTAGTGTTGTGCACAATTCCTTCTCCTGACACTAACAATGGGACAATATTCCTCCCACTAATACCAATGATGGGACATTGTTTACTCTCATTGATGCCAGGTCTACTCACTCTTGGCACAGTCCTGTCCCCTCAAATTCTGAAGGACAGTAAACAGGTCCTTTGTTTAGAAAGGTTGGAGACCCCTGGTATAGTGAATGAAGTAAAGCTCTTTTGACTTTCATCATCTAATCATGTACAGGCTGTTTTTTTTTCATTGGGTATTCTTTGCATGCACCCTAAGTTATCCACCATGTTTTTTTAAAAGCAATAAAACCTGGTTGCCTGTTGGAGTATTTGGTTTGTGTACATGATATATTTATGGCGTTTCTCAGGCTGTACTTGATATTAGCATTACCTACCTGAACTCTGTTTGCCAAAACCTTGGCTCCAAATACCTACTTTGTCAAATCCCTACTTTGATCCTGCTCTACCATTTAAGAAATAATGCAGAGCTTATGGACTACACTTCCAGTTGTCTAATGAAACCATCTATTCCTGGCTAGTTTGAGCCTTTGTTTGCCACCTAACAATCCTGCGCCATATTCTCTTCTGATCATGTGGATTTTACTCTCTTGGGATATGGTCGCCCTGTTTAATCTACTGCATAAGTGTCCTGGGACAACCAAGTATCATTCCTTGCTCAAAAAACATATCAGAATGATGGCTGCTAAAGGTCAGGAGAGGTGAAGAGGTAGATTAATATATATATTTGTAAAAATATATAGTACCCCTGCGCTATTCAAAATAGTATAGGATAATATCAATTAATAGATTAATAATAAGCAGCCAGCACTTGGGTGTCCCAACCTTGGCAGCAAATACAGTCAAAGAGTTACAAATAGAAAGTGCAGCGCTAATAAACACTATATGCAAAATGTCTCATAATATATCCACTGAGGGTGAAAAAAAAAATAAATATATATATAGTGTTGTGATTCCTCTTAATACAAAAGTGAATAAAACACACAGCAATCTTCATGCAAGTGCTCCCAGTTTGACACTGAATCCACAATGACAGGGGTGCCCCCTCACCTTCCTGCCCAGGCCCCTCAGGACCACTGAGCTAGATAAAGAAGCCTCTTTATATTATCCTCCCAGGACACCATGGGACCTCCTCAACAATAGCGGTGTTACTTCCTCTTCTGATCAATATGTGTCCCACGAGTACTTCCGGATGTTAGTACGAACACCTCTCCAAACAAGTCCCACAAAAGGTAAAAAGATCCGACATAGTGTAAAACTGTATACTTTAATAGAATCCACACTCCAAAAGTACTACTCACATTTAGCAGCTCAATATAGACATTTCACCACACCATGGGTGTACTATCTGTGTGGGTCCTCACTAGGTGCACCAAAATGGCGCCAACGCCGGATATGACATCACCACGCGGTCTGTTAGGCTCCTCCCACAAGCGTATCTACGCGTTACGTCACGATTGGTTACACGTGACTTCATCAGGAAATACGCCTACTGTGGGCCTGGTTGTATTTATATCTGCTCTCAGCCTCTTAGTTAATCAAAGGGGGCGGCATCCGAGCGGCCATGTTTTTGAAGTCCTAAACACTTCCTTACTTCCCCCAGTGGGACCTACTCCTCTACCCATATGTGTCGGCTTCTACAGTATTACAAACGGGGAAAGAAAGAAAGACTTTGATTAATAATTCCTCTTTATAAGAGAAACACTTTATTAAATAGGGTGATAATATTAATAAAACAGGTAAAATGTATATATAAAAAAGACATAACTATGTCATATATACCCAAGAGTAGATTAGTTATTGGATGCCACTAGTCATAGTGTCACCCATAGTGTGGTGTCATAATCAAATCTACAAATACTCTTCATATGGCATAATTTTTATATATTTGTTTAAAACCATGTAAAATTGTAAAATTATACGATAAATTCTTAATACACAATTGTAGTAACAACACTATACATGAATGTTAACCCCCACTCCAATACTTATATCTTGGTATTGGGGTGCAGTCAATTCCACTTGGGGGTCTATAGATTATTTCCCCTTACATACCTACTTACTGCACATATATACAAATCAAACCATATTAACTCATATATTGCTATTTAAAAAACCTGATTAATATACTAGAAATCACTGATGAAACTGTTGAGATCAAATTCCCGTTCAGACCTCTCGGGGCTTGCGTTCTCATCAGAAAAATCCATTTTGACTCTTTTTGACTAAGGTCTCTAACCATATTGCCCCAGTTCAAGTCTTCAAACTTGAACTGGGGCTGTCCGACCCATGCTGTCACTCCCCTCCCAACAGGAGGGAGAGGAGCTGAGGGGAATAACACCAGCCCACTGACACCCCCAACCCCCAACACCCGCTAGATGGACACCAATTCCAACTACACACCCAGGGCTCCTAGGAAGGGATGACAGATATACAGTATGGTTATAC